TTCATTTAAAATTAACATAATTAAAGGTGAGTTTTCCATTTCCCAATATAATTATGACCCAAAAAGCATCTGGAGAATTAGAATTAATAGAGATGCAAAAAGATCAAGCTCTACAATTAAAATATAAATCGACTCCGATTACTGAATTTTGGAAATTTGTGCTGGAATCGAAGTATCCTGACTTAAAAAAATCTGCTTGTCAAATTATTTCAATATTTGGAACAACATACTTATGTGAATCATTTTATTCCACTTTAAAATTTGTGAAATCCAAATACCGATCAGTATTAACTAACCAGCATCTCAAAGAATTATTGAGAAGTGCTGTCATCAATTATTTACCAAATTTTAAAGAATTATCAAGTAGTAAAATAAATGTGTTTAATTTTTAATATTTAAATTCAATACACATATTTTGTACTTTTATTTATATGTTTTCAATAAATATAATTTCTGTAAGAAACATTTTTAATAACCTTTTTGCACACTTTTTAAATACGTATTTAATTGCAGCTCAGAAAAAATTTCAAATTTTGAAAAATGGCTCGGACTATCAAGGAGCTTAGCCACCCCTTTTATATACAGTTAGTCTGCATTTTATTTTATTTATTCATTCTTTTTAAATCCAAGGAGAACCACAAAAGCAGGCTTTTGGACTTTTTTTAGTCCATAGGCCACAAACTGAAATGCTGCTATGTAATACACAAAGTTCTCATACTTTTAGCAGCTCACTTTAGAATAAGCCACAGTTTCAGTCCATCTAATTTATTTAAAACGCTGAGCGCGGCACCAGTCCCTGGAGACCGGCAGTGAACTTTCCGTGTGATCGGCATCAGTCCCTGGGGACCGGCACTGGAATTTTCGTTTGGCTGACATCGGTCCGCAGGAAAGTTAAAAAATATATACAATCTCAATGAAATGTGATCAAATTTAGTTTTAATGAAATGTATTGAAACATTCTAAACAAAAATACGGCTTAGCTCACTGCCGGCTGAACGGGAAGGACAGCAAATTCGGCATCGCGCTCAACGTGTTAAATAATACCAATCTGACATTTTTAGAAATCATTATCACTTTTTGTATGCATGAAGTACTTTTATGTATATATACACATAGTATATTTAATTTTCATATCAATTTATAAAATGCAAAAAAACTGGATATTCATTTTAATGATCTGCAGTTTCTCAATTAAGCAAAGGATGCCTATATTTTAAAAATTATAGCAAAAATTTGGAGCAGCATATAACTATCTACCTAGTTACAGTATAAGCTTTATAAACTATAATAGTTAAATTTAATGTAATTTTAAACTTTACGTTAATTAATGTAAAGTTTTTATAACTATAATAGTTAAATTTAATGTATAATCTTGAGAACCAGCAGTAACAATCACAACGAAAAAAATTTTGATTCACGAACTTCCCATTCTCTCACTTGACAGTCTCAGACCTTCATTTTGCACGAATTAAAATTTATTTTGTATTAGTCCCCTCCCCTCTTTGGCCATTTCACAGTTCTGAAAAATGATTTATCTCAGTAGCATTATTTGAAACTACATGTATATAAAATATCTTCCTTTCTAATAATAAATTAACAATAATCCTTTAACTCCTCTTTTAAATTTGAGCATGCTCCCTTCTTCATTCTAAAAATAGCAAAGCAATAGCTTTTCTAATGTAATCCTGTAATTCTGAAAAGTGATACCTCAACTGATCTCTACTGCACAATTATTCCTGGAATGTGATGAAATTTTAACACAACCTCCAGAATATTAATATGTTACAGATCTAAAATTTGGCTTTGCTTAATTTAATTCTTGTCATGTGATCCAAAATATAATCTGTTTAATATAACCATGCTTTCCTATAAAAGATCTTTGCTGCCCAATCTTGTTCTCTTTCCTTCCTTTCTTCTTGCTTCTAGCTCTTTCTCGCTTGCAAAACTGATATCATCTGCTTGCTGCTTGATTTCCTACATTGTTTCAGAAATGTAATATGTCAAATATTAATCCTGGGGTGCTTATTCGCTGCCATAATGCAGTGATATGGAAAAAATATCCTTCAAGAATGTTCAAAAATAAATTATGTGTTAACTCATAACACATCTGTCTGCAAATTATTCATTCTTCTACAATGCAGCTAAGTAATAACCACCCGATCGCCAGTCAAGCATGTCAAATGCATGTTCTAAATATCTCAACTACTACAACGATTGCTAGAAATCTCTCTTCGTAAAAAGGTTCATTTCATTACCACTAATTATGCTTATTTTCATTACAAACACACATAATCTTTTTTTTTTTTTTTTTGTTATTTATAGACATTGTGGTTAAATCTAAAATGGTAACCTGGGACAGTTACCATGATTGCGACAGTTACCAAGCATGGTTATATTGTACTTTGAAAATAAGTTCTTACTGCAGTTATCCAGTCCTTACCAAAATTGGTGGGGGAGTGCTAGAAAGTCTACACATACTGGTTCATACATAGCGGACCCATATCAAACCATTTATGTGATCAGAATAGGAAATATAAACTGCATCATCAGTTTTTTTTTAATTTTAGCTTTGGTATGGACTATATGCACATAAATTACATAGAATTATTACACAAAAAAGGACTAAATTTTACATGCACGCACATCAATAAATAATTAGGCACAGCAAAACAAATACACATTATCTGAATTAGTGCGAAGTAAGCATATTACATCATTTTTATTTACTATTATATTAGGATTAGTAGTGGTAGTCACAGTCATGGGGGGGAAGTACTCATTTACTTCTTGACAGATTATATTCTGGAAAAAGAATCTATATTACAATGCCCAATTAAAAATTTACTGATTTAATTATATAGAGAGAGTGTGTTATATGAATTGTTTGTAATTCAATGGTTGAAAAAATATGAAAAAGTATCAAGCACACAAAGTTAATTCACCCATATAAAAAATATAAGACATATCAATTCAGAATTGTTAACTGAATTATAGGCCTAATTCTCATTCAACAAGAAATAAGCAATTAATGTATTTGCAAAGATGCCATCCTTTTAAACACATTTATCCTTAAAATCCAACAAATATCATTTAAAAATCATTAAAAAGATATTGAAATTTTAGCAAAATCAATAAAGGGTTTTAATAAGGATGCAACAATGAACAACTGCTTTTCTAACATCTTCATTAACTAAAAAATTTCTGATGAATTCAAGCTGTTATGATGACTATTAAGAAAGGGGACCATTTTTTGCTTCATTTTACTCATTTGAGTTATTGCCACAGATAAGCTGACTAGTCATTTCTTCTTTCAGAAGGATACAACAATTTTATCCCATAAACAAATGCAAAACGAGTTGATTGTACTTATTTCTTCTGACAGTATTGATGTAGCAATAAACATAAACAATACCAGCCAGAAATTGTCTTAACCTACAATTCTATCACTAAAACAATAGTTTCAATTTATCAGATATTTCAGAATTAAGGTTTGTGACCATAAAAAGGCACTGATCATTAGGCCTTTCAATGAAAGTGATTCAGAAATATGTGGCAAAAATGCAAAGGGGACCAAAATAAGCAGATTTTGTAGCAGAATATGCACACAGAGTATTTCGAGGTGGTAAGTAAACAGTCACACACAAACTACAACAGAAATTGTCCTTCCCTATGGAAATAATCAGTGGTATGCACTGCTAGGCAAATGCAAAGCTTGCCTATATGTGTTTTTACCTGCAGTTAGAATACAGCAACTACTCAAATGAGATACAGAGAATAATTTCCAAATACATTCTTTGAGCAGTTACTCCATTTCTATCCACAGCCCCATGGATGAAACACATACTGGCAAGCTCCACGTTCGTGTAGCAATGCATACCTGGCAAAATCTGCATGGAGAATTACAATTTATACCAGTAGAAGACTTTTATCTATTGCTCTATAGTATCATTTATCATCTCAATGCACCATTTCTGCATACACTTCCATTACCAAATCTGTTTATTTTGGTCTTCTCTACTGGCCATTATATTTTTACTCGTTATATTTTTAAATTATCCTGTACAATACTGAATACAGTTGCAACAAATATAGATGCATAACTGTTTTCAGGAAAAAAAATAGAGAAACTTCCAAATCACTCATGAGGCTTTAGTTTATGTTGAAATTATGTTGCAAATTTCTTTAAAAAACATCAAAAAGATTAACTATCCTTACACATAGTCTTTTGAGTCATTAGCAGAAAAGACAGATGATGATATATCAGAAGATCAGCACACTGTGCCAAGCACTGTACGTACTGCAGTTGCATGAAAAAAAAGAAAGCAGTATTTGCCTGTAACCATTTCAACAAGTAAATTTCAACAAATATCAGAAGACAACATGTCCATTACGTTAACTAAATATATATAACATTTTTGTTTGGTTGTTTTTATTTTAAGTTGATGGGATGCAGATGTATAGTTGCAGTCAAATTTTAGCTGTCTTTGCAATTTAACACCTTTTTTTTTCCTTCCTGGACTAAACAGTTCTAACTAAACAGAAGAGCATTCCAATTATGACTTACATACATGGCAATGGGTGCAATCTACATGTCCAACTTAATCATATTTGTAATTTTTCGACATCTTTTGAGAATACAGCAGATGGGAAAAAAAAAAAGAAAAAAAAAGACAGCAGCAAGATATTCATTGGAGAGCAAGCCCACAGTAGGAATGTTTTCTCCCCCCCCAAGAATAAAACTATTGCATTTAATATATATATATATGACATAATACTTCATGATCAAATAATTAAATTCACTTGTTTATAAATTTTGAATGTATATAAATTTTAAACATAATTGCCAAAACTTAAATCCAACTATTATTAACATTCTAGGGTTAACTAGACAAATAATTTTACATTATAATTAAATTCAAATGAAATAAGAATATTAAAACTATAATTTTTTAATGAAAACTAGTTCTTGAAATTTTTATATTTTAAATACAGATTTTTACCCTTCTGTATATCTTTCACAAATTTATACGCAGAAGTATCCCAATTTTCTACTGGCCTATAAAAAGGAAACTATCTATTAATGCATTATATAATATATAAAATATTAAAACAGAATGAAGAAATTTATATAATACACTTTAACATAACAGCTTAAACTAGAAATAAATAAATTCAGAAGTCAAATTAGCATTCAAATTTCAAAGATTATGCTGCAAACTGCTAAAAATAATTAAATTTATATTTTTGAAAAATGAACACAAAGTTTTAGCTTACAAGATGAAAGCAATAATCTTTTTCCTGTTAAATACCTGTCTTAAATTGTTTTCTGTTAAATACATTAAACAGGTTTACAAAATACTGGGAATGAATTTAAATCCTTCTAAAGTATACAATGCTACTCATAATCTCTTAAAATTTAAAGCTGACACTGCTAAAATTTCATCAACTGCAACTAAGAATTAATCACAGGATAGTTCTCAACTAGAATATTATTGCCAAATTGAGTAGAAGTAAATAAATTTCTGTGCAAGATAAAGCAGTAATTAAAAGTTTTTATCATTTATTTAAGTATCCTCCGACACCCTCACTTTCATGCATGTTAATTCAAAGCTATTTTATAAACATTATAAACAGAATTTAATCTTTGCTATATATATATGGAATAAAATTCAAAGTAATTGTTAAAAACATAATAAACAATGCAATCTTTTCAAAATCAATGAAAAAGAAGTTGAAAAATTGAAAGATATATATATAAAATAAGGTACAAGAAAATGTAAAAATTAAATGCATATAATATACATAAAAGGCCAGAATATGAATTAATTTATGCTCTTTCTCATGGGAGAACAATAAAATGTTCGCATCTGTTTTCTTACTATGCTATCCGAGATGTAGGGAGCAGCAGTGGGGACCCTCTGAATTATTACAGTCGGCTAACCTCTGAAAAGCGATTTTTGGAATGTGGGAGGGAAGTGGTGGTGAAGCATTATACTGACTAGTGAAAGGAAATTAATTAATTTTTGGCTAATTGTCATTGTGTAATGAGGAAGAAAAGAAAAAGAAGTAGTAGTTTTCACTGCTAACGAGCTATTTAGCAAACTTAGAACATGAAATAGACTCATTTGTTATGTAACAGCAAAAGTAATAAGAAAAGCAGAAAACAATGATTTTTTACATTATATACAATTATTTAATTAATTACACTACGTACAAATCCTCCAACTGATAGTCATCCAACTTATATCACCTTTTCAAGTTAGGAACAAATTTTCATATCCCTAACAGTTAAATAATTCAGAGAGGGTATTTAATGCCTGCTCTTTTAACACAATGATTAATAAAGCAATTAGGTACTAGCTTATTTTTGAGAATTTTAATAAGTAGCAAAATTTTGCACTGTAGATCTATTGTATCTGTGCAAATATTTTTAATATGTTGTATTTGATTTAAGATAGTATTACTAATAACTTTCTCGGAGAAGACCAATTTATTAATTTGTTAATATTGAAACTGAAATCTCTAGTTTTGTCAAACAGTAGAATTCTTTTTTAGTTACTTATTTAAAAAACAAGATAGTTGATGGTATTTTATTTTGCGAATGATTAGTTTTATTAAGAGTAAGGCATTTTGGATAAATCCGAGTTTTCAATTTTATAAAAATTATTAAATGTAATAATATCATCTATATATCTGTCGGTGTGTGTGTAGTAATTTAAATCTTCTTATAAATGTTTTTGGAAGGTAAATTCTTTGGTGAATAAAAAAGATATTACAGACGGAAGTATCGAATGTACACCCATTGGGATAACTTTGATTTGCTTAAAAAGTTGATTTTAAAATTTAATGCAGTTATGAAAAATGGTGCATTATAGGTAGGTGAACATAGCAGAAAAGAATTTAGGCAGATCTAGTATACTGGTACAGATTTCTTCTAATGAAAGTGATGTATACAAGTTCTCAAAGTCATAGCAATTGATGTTTTGTATGTCGATAGACTGAACGGTATTAATGACAGGAGTGTGATTTTGGATAATCCAACAATATTTATGATCAATGTTACACGTATTGAAAATAATTTTACAAATTTTTTTAAGTTGAAATGCAAAATAATAGTCTACACTTTCTTGCAGTTATTAGTGCCATTTACCATGAATCTGAATTTTAATGGTGTTTTATGGAATTTGGGAAGAGCATATAGGTTTGTAAATCTGTTGTACCTTAGTTATGTTAGGTTATTTAATTATGGCAAAACCTCGAGGGCTATCTGCCTAAGGGGAGGGATGCTTTCACGGAGGACTTTCTAAGGGAAACTAGCTCGTACATGGGGAAAACCATGAAAACACCCATGCAGCCAGCCCGTTCGCGGGATTCGAACCTCGGACTGAACTACCAGTGTTTCAGCGACTTTACCGCTCGGCCGCTGATGGGCCCTGTTGTACCTTGGATTTAAAGATATATTGAGTTTTTTTTATGAAAATTTTTATTTATGTTAATTATAGATGTTTCTGTATTGTTTGCTAATTGATCAGTAGTTGTGTTGGAAAGCTCTTTATTAATAATTGTTGGGTAGAATTGTTTTCATATAATGCTAAAGTTATTTGCTTTATCTATTCTGGTAATATTGAAAAGCTGTTTTAAATTTTTAATATCAGACAGTAGTTGTGACCAAATAAACTTAAAGCATCTAAAGTTAAAAGTAAATTGGAGTCAAAGGACATCAGCAATTTCATCCTTAAAGGGGTTAAACATAAAATCAAAACATTTCAAAATAAAAATGATCATAGTAGTACAAACTCAAATACTAAAAATGCAAAAAGGAATAATATATACAAGTTAATAAAAATATGAAAATCAATCTCCCTTTATTGAAACTTTAATTCAGCACTCATCAGAGAAAATGAATTAAATCTTCATAAAAGTTGATTAATATGCCTTGAAAAAAGGTTTTGTTCTCCCAGTAAATTTGAGATTAAAAATTGAAAAAAAGAAAAAAATTTATATTGCATAAAAACTCATATAAAACCGAAAAAAATAAGAATTTCAAATGTACCAGGATTTTCCCTACACGCCTTCGAAACACTTGGAAAAAAGAATAAAATATAACATTATTTCAAATTTACTAAAAAACCAAAACATTACATATTGTAAAATAACCATTCGACCATTTCTGAGAAATCACCTTGCTTTGGACTCCAGTTTACTTTTAACTTTATATGTTTTGAGTTTATTTTACTTCAATCCTGCAGCTATAGCACAGGACGCTTTTATTTTTGCCTCTTATTATTGCCTCTTGCTTTTTATTTTTGCTTTCTTTATGTATTTATATATATATATACATATTTACTATGATTTAGGGCTTTAAAATTTTAATATTTATAACAAATTCTAAAGAAATTTTTTTTCAGGAGGTGTCATGGCATTGAAATAATGGAATACTAATCCTGAATTCTTAAAAAATCCTCCAACGAAGGCATCCCTCCTTTTAGGCAGTTAGCCCTAATATGCTTTACATTAGTCAAATAAGCCAAAGCATACTGTTGCTGTAAAAAAAATATTGCATTCATCTTAAATAATTTCGACTGCAAACATTATATTTGTTACTACGGAAAGAATTTATTTTTGTGTAAAATTCTCAATGCTTGAATTTTTATAATACACAGAAACAGAGATAAAAGAAACTAAAAAGATATTCATAATTTACTAGGGTATCTAAACAATATAATCATTGTTAAATAGATTTTTAATAAGAATATTTTGGAAAAAATAAATTATTAATGTACACTTCTACGTCGTTCTTCCTAAGAAGCTTGTTTGTTTTAATTGAAAAAGATGAAACATTCTTGAATCATCTGACTAAGAAGTGGAATGCTTTCGTGAAAGATTCTGAAAGGAAACTTGGCTCATAATTGTATTTCACACAGAGAAATCCTAAAAAGTTCCTATGTAGCCAGGCTGTATGCCATGATTCAAATTCGTATCGAAGGATCAGGTTTTGTTGTCTTATCTGTCGGCTATCAGAAGATAAAGTTTCGTAGAAAACTACAAAAATCGAGTCATTAAAGAATTTGCTATTACATTGCATCAGATAAATAATTTGCATGCCACATAGATTTAAAAATTCTAACATAGCATGCAAAGTCACATTTTCCTAAATAGATATGGGTGAGCCAATGGTCGAGCATAATATCGTTGAACACTGGTAGTTTGACCCAGACTCAAGTTCTGGCTAACAGGTTGACTGCGTGGACGCTTCGGTGGTTTTCCTTCTGTGTAACTTCAATACCAGCCAATTTCCCTTGGAGGTTCTCCATGAAGACATACTTTCATTAGTAAGATAACACTTTCTTGCTTTGCCGGAATCAAATAAACTAAACCTAAAACTGTCATATGTTTTGCCACCTTTTTAAAGGAAGTTTCACATTCAACATCCCTAACAGTAACGAGATAATTTTACTTCTTCACATACGCCCTATTGACATATTTTACACGTTCAAATATTCAAGAGGATAATTATAGCTCTATTTTGGCTGATCATAGAATAGACAGAAATAGATAATAGAACAGATGGAAATAGATGATAGAAATGGATCTTTATGTAGATCTTGTGCAGTTGTTATATTCTGTTTTAACTGACTGCTTATAAATACATTTAGATAGCATGCCTTTAAGAATGAATATCAAATTTATGTATAGAAATATTGCTTTAGATGAATTTTAAAATGAATATTACAAAAAACATTTTTCAGAAAGACAGTTTAAGGTGGAAATTATTATGTGATACTCATTTCAAAACAATACTTTCCTCCTTAAAGTTATAAGATATTTTCACCTTCCTTTCTGCATGCCTTCATGGTGTAATATAGCGCATTCGGTGCATATTTGAGAAGTCCAAGATTCGAGTCCCGGCTAGGGCTTTGCTCATTTTTTATGTGTCTCCTCCACAAATAACAGGGTTCATAGCCACATTTTAGTAAAAAAAAATAAGCACCTATAAACACTTTTCAAGCACATTTTAAGAAAAAAAATAAGCACCTGTCTATTTACATTATACAG